ACACACAGACACATTCATGCACACACAGACACATTCATGCACACACACACACATTCATGCACACACAGACACATTCATGCACACACACACACATTCATGCACACACACACACATTCATGCACACACACACACATTCATGCACACACAGACACATTCACGAGCACACACACATTCACGAACATTCATGCATACACACATACACATTCACGCGCACACACAGACACATTCATGCACATACACACACACTGACACACTCACATGCATGCTAATTAATGAACACAAACACTCAGGCACACACCCATACACACAAGCACACACAAGCAGCTGTAACACTGCACAGGAAGAGCAGTGGTCTTTAATGGGATGAAGAACCTATGAACAGCGGTACAGGCGGAGCTCTGCTGCCCGAAGAGCACTGGTGTCTTTTGGCCAATGCTCTCAACCTATGGAGGTAGCCATTGATGTGTGCTAGTGCAAACCTATCATCCCAGTACGTGGGAGGTGGGGGCAAAAAATCAGGCATGTAAGGCCAGCCTGGTTATTTGAGACCCTTTCTCAAAACCAAACCAAACCAAAAGGTTTCAGCCAACTCAGTCACTTTCTCTCCTATTCATTGGCATCCACACACTGAACCCACCGGAGGCTCCCAAAAGCCTCCACAGGGCCTTTGCACATGCGCACTGTATCTGTGGAATGTGTCTCTTGCTCACACACAGATGTAAACCCTGGGCCCACCCCTTGGGCTGCAGGCATGCCTGGCTCCTCACGTGTGCTCACAGAACATTGCAGATACCAGAAGTCCACAGGACCTGCTGCTGGACAGCCACATTGTCTGGGACACGCTCTTCATTGTACGTTCAATGGCAAACTCACAGGACATGGCATGCCCTGCACAACGGCCTATCACGTAACGGCATGGAGTGGACAGTCACTGGATGTATAAATACTTGCTGAGGGAATACATGAAGGCAGTAAGTGACCCTGGTCCCCACTAAGAGGCTGGCTAAATCTGGGTGCCCAGAATCCCACAACAACGGGTGATCTGGACCCTCCTGGTAGCTGTCAGGGACCTCGGGGCTGCAGTACCCATCTACACCCTAGCCCATGAGGAACCCCATCGTCAGACTGGATGACCCATGGGGCAACCTCCCTAGAGTGGACACCACACTCACCTACTGTGGCCACAGTCCTCCCGTAGCTATGCCAACATGATAGAATGTGTAGACAAGAATTAGCTTCTTCATGGGTTGAATAGAGTGTCACCAGGGCTCTGCTGAGCTGGGATCGATGGTGTACAAATGTCAGACACTGGGGGATCCCTAAGCCTGCCCCAGAGGCTGTGACACAGATGCAAGGGAGAGTGGGTAAAAGGCAAAGGCAAGCATGTTGGTTCACAATCACCGGTTTACACACACACACACACACACACACACACACACACACACTTGTACCAGGGAGTCAAAGTCTTAGTGAGCAGATCATGAGCCAAAACTCTAAAACCGCAGTAGGGAGTGGGGGTGGGGTGCCTAAATCATCACGCCCGACGTTAGAAGCCCAGGATTCTCTGGTTTCCACTGAACCTGTTGTAAATGGCAAGGAGCCCATTTAGACGCTTTTAAAACCCAACCCCGAACGCATCGCATATGCTACGCCCGATTTGAGACTAGCAGTCTCTTCCAGAACTCTGCAGTATCCTACTCACAAGGAACTGGCTGCTATTTATTCCTGGGCAGCCTCACTTGCTATGTCTAAGTGTAGAATTGACACGCCATGTTGGCCAGGTAGCTAACAGGTCCTTAGAGAAAGGAAGGAAACAGACTGAGCCAGGTCTGGTGTGTGTGTGTGTGTGTGTGTGTGTGTGACTTGCTTAGTAGATTTCATGGGACCAAGAGTTGAACTCGGGTCTCACCCATACTAGATATGGGTTCTCCCAGCCCCCGATTCATACACGCACAGAAATTCACAATTCATACATGATCATGGAAATAGCGAGAAACAGGGATCATCCTCTGGGAGCCGGGAGGCTAGCTAGCTTCACGAGGAGAGAGAGCGGGGATCAGGCCAGCCCCGAGTCTAGCTGTAGCTCAGCTCACAGACTTGATGCAGCACGGCAGCTGCGTCACGCCGCCTTCAAATGGATCTGGGTGCCAGCCATTTGCTGTGCTGTACCAGTGCCCGAGTCCTGGGAATGCCACCATCTGCCGAGGGACGTGGGCTAGGACCTACACCTTTTCAGCCTCTTCTGATACATGATCTCGGCCCCTGGATCCTCAAAGAAGAGATTGACTAACATCCTCTCCACAGAGCCAAGCTGCAAGGCACACAGACATGTCCCACCACGGACCCCAGGTGACCAGGGCACAGTCACTGTTCAGACACCACCAGAATGTATGCATTCTTTCCTTAGTCCCCACAGTGAAACTACTCTGGGGCAGGGGCTGAGGACCTGGCAGTGGACATTCAAGAGGACGGGCAGGGCTGGGGATACAGACAGTGACAGAGGGCCTGCCTAGCATACGAGAGGCCCCGTGTTTGAGACTCAGATTTGGCACTGCACCGTGCACAGGCACACGCCTGTCATGCCAGCTCTTGTGAGACCGAGGCAGGAAAACTGTGAATTCAAGACAAGCCCAGATTGGAGAGGGGCCCTGATGTATCACCCAGCCTACCACTAAGGATCACAGCCGAGCTTCTCTGGTCCTCCCGTGTGAGTCTGCTCTGGGTCAAGCCAGCTCGTGTCATGTTCTAAACACAGTGCTTGCCTCTTCTCTTGACCCCAAGCTGGCTGCATCCTGTGGCTTGCTGAAGCTGCTAGGAGAAAGTCCGGCCCATACACCCCCACCCCAGGCAAAGAGCGGATCAAAATGTAAAGCCAGGCTTCTGAAGGAAGAGCACGCATCTCCTGCTCAGTGGGACAGCTGAGGAACCACGAGTCCATCTGTCTTAAGATGTCTGCTAGAGCCTGGCTTGGAAACACCTTCCCAAAGAACATACTCCTGAAAGCAAATGACTCCCCAACCCCTGCCCTGGCCTGTAGCAACATCTGACCTTCTTCCCCCTGTGTGTTGGCCCTAGCTGGACATTTGATAACCGTAGGGTCTGTATCCCGTCTGTCTGTCCCTGCCCCAGTCTTATCTTCTCTCCAGACAGGACCTACCCCCTGGGCTCTTCTCTGTGACCCAGGCCAGTCTCTCCCTGACTCTGGCCTCTGACCTGAGAGGTAGTGTCCAGGACCCTTGATGGGTTCTGCCTCCCAGACTCAGCTGGAGGCTCAAGGATTCTGTGTCAACCTCTGCTCCCTGGCCAGGCACTTCCCCAGCACAGGCTAGCTTCCTGGATCTTGGATGGAGTTCTGGATCTCCCAGAGGTACTCATCCTTGGCTCCCCCTCTGGCTGCAGCCCCAAGTACTTTTTCTCCAGCTGCCCTGGGCCTTCAGCCCACAGTCACATCCACAGAGTTACAGGGGCAAGCGCATAAAGAGTTTGAGGAAGTTCACAAGTGTCCCCCAGTGACATGCAGAACAGGACTATTTGCCACAGCCCTCTCCGAGGCTGATGCAAACCATCAGACTCCCAGGCCAGCTGTGCATCCGAAGACTGTTACAGTTCATCCCCCCTGCAAGCAAACATCCGCCTTTTCAATCCCAAGGCCAGTTCCTTCCTACAATTTGTGCTATTTTGGGACAATGTAGCCATGGGAGAACCCAGAGAACCCAGTCATCAAGTAGCCTTCTTCCCCCTCTTGTTTTCCCCAGGTTGGGATAATTCGCAAATTACAGCTTGGAAGCTATGCTGATCCTCTGCCTGGCTTTGTAAATAAAGTTTTATTGAGCCCAGACCCTGAGACCTCTTTCAGGAGCCTCTATCTGTGACTCTGACTGACAGCTCATCATGTGACTCAGAGGGGGGAAAAAGACATTTACAGCCATCCGATATAGAACAAATTACTCTAACGTGCATACCGGGGTCCCCTCAAACACTGGGTCTCCAAGGTCATGACTGCTTCCATGGCTGTGGTAATATTTCCGGCAGCAGCCAGCTTCTCTCCGAAGAAGCGTCTTCCAGTTCCACCAGAGAATTGTGAAACCGCTAATCAGACAAACAGAAAGTTTGAAATTTTTGGTTTTGGAGACAAGAGTCTCACATAGCCTCTGATTTTCTCCTGTTCTCCCTGACTCTATGAAGACATTATACCCAAGTTACTCCATCCTGCAGATCAAACGTGGGGCCTTCCCTGTGTCGGGCAAGCATTCTGTTGGCCGAGCTGTATTCTCAGCCCTGCAAGTCTGGTTTCTCTTTTAAGGTATTCATGTATGAGAGTGTGCACACACGTGTGCCACCACACTCACATGGAGGTTCCAGAACACCTTTCAGGACTCCTCTCTCTCTCCTACCATGGGATCTGGGGCTC